CCATAAGCGGCTGGGGGCGCCGCCTGTTGTTGGGCTGTATCTCACACCCTTCTCTCGCCCTGTCTTACAGGGCTCGTGCGGGAGCTGCTGAGGGAGGAGGCGCCGTCCCGCATCGCCGCCCTCACTGAGGAGCTCTTCCAGGCTGCGGGGAGCGTCTCTGAGGAGGACGAGACCGGGGCTGAGGTAAAGCCCCGGCCTCCGGGCCCGGTGCCCTTCTCCACCCCGCCTGAAGAAGTGGGGGTTTCCTGTGCTTCCCGCCCCGCAGCAGCGCTGCCCGGTCCGGTGGCCGCGGCCGCCCTGCCGGCACGTGCTCTTGCCTCTCGTCTTCTGCAGTGAAGCTGAAGGTTTAACTCTAGCGCTCCTGGAGCGTAAACATAACGGATTATTTCTTCATCTTCTGACCCAGTAGCGTGAAGGCCCAAAATAAAGTGGAAAATGTTACATCTTTTAAAATAAAACATTTAAAATGCAAAATGCTGATCTTCAATGTAAAAGTGTGCATCATAATGGGGAAAGTTACTGGTCTCTTAGTGATATTAAGGTTTTCATTATTTCAGTTTTCTAGTAGGATCTAATTGTAATTTAAATAAAAATGCAAGCATAGAGTGCTGATACATTAAGAATTTGGTACTGGGTCAGAGGAGAGGTCCATCTCATCCTGAACATGGTTTCGATAATGAGAGTGGATGCTTGTGGAAGAAGTAAACAAGCAAACATGTCGTTTTACCTGCCTGGTAAACTCGGTGTGTAGTATTATAGTGGGATGTACTCATTTTTGTACATTATAAAAGAGAATTAGGTTGTTGTTTATGTTTTTAATTCTTTTTCTTTCTGTGTATTTCTTCTAGAGTACTTATAAAGTAGTAAATGTCTACTACTAATGCCTTTAAAAGGCCTTTTTCAAAAAGAAATCTGATGGGTAATACATGAATGTGGAATAAAACCAAGACCAGCTGAGATACTGTCCAACCTTTTCCTTCAAAATGTTATTTTGAAAAGAGATTTAACTCTGTATCAGATGAGGAGGACTGATCTGAAAGTCCTGAATTTGTGACAAGGAGGAAGATAAGTTAGCAAGTGTCACAACATAAAGCATGCTCAGTGCAGTCTGTGAAGACATACAAGAGCATAAAACTTGAGTTCTTCCTGAAACAGTTAGGCTAAATTATTTTTAAAGAAAGGAGACATCATTAATTTGTAATCTGATCCCTTCAATAAAAGGGGCCATAAAATGTTTCCTAGTTAGGCAAGAGTGTATTTGTAGGCAAGATCTGCCATGGAAACTAGGATTTGAAGTGATGGAAAGTGCAGCCCTTCAATGTGGGTTGTTAAAGGAGCTTATTGCCTTTATGTAGAACTGCGTCATCTTTTTAACAGGAGTATATCATCAGTAGCCTTTGTTCTCTGTTTGCTGGTGTCAGTAGTTTCCCAATGTAGCTATTTAAAATAATTAAACTACTTAGTTTTCTTTTTGATAGGCAAAAGAGGTGAAGCCTTACTATAGATATGTTTTCAACCCTGATACAATTCTTACAGCTCTTTTCAACATCTTCAAATTTTTCAACATCTGTTTAAAATGTACATGATGTATTCTGAAAGCTGCCAGTGAATCAGTTATATTTTGGTCATAGTGATGAGCTGTTGCACAAATTTTGTTACTATGAGTGTTTGTGAGAAAACTTCATCCCAGATGGATAGGGTAAGTGAGGTCATGTTTTGCTAAGTTTGGAAAAGGACTTGATAGAAACATAGGTTAGGACATTTCAGTAATATGACAGATTAATGGGATTTGTTTAGGATCATACTTGAATGTTTCTGAAGCGCACCACTTGCAGGATTTGCTATTATGCATAATTTCAAATTGGAGCTGAAGGCACTGATGGATGATGTGAGTATATGTACACGTGCTATTAGTCATATGATTAATTAGTTCTTTTTAGTTTCAGGTCTTGTCAGGCTTGGATTTACACAGTCATGTTCTTTCTTACCTTGCTTCATTTTAGCAGTGCTCTCATGTTTTTAGAAGATGTGAAATATTCTTTTATAAGACTGAGTATATCTTATGAAATATACTTACGTATGTGCTTCCTGCCAGCTGCTTATAATTCTTCTGAAATGATGGATCTGTAGAAAAGAATAATCCATATTTTTAGCTGAAGAAATGCTATGTGGTCTGTTCAGCATACCTGTTTTCAGGTCGCTATCCCAGATCTCCCTGTGGGATCATGTAACAGTTTCATGGAAAACTCACCCTTTTGACTCCAGTGTTAAAAGAAGTTGCACAAACATGTGGACAGGTTATTACTGTGATACACATGAAAGTTCCTTTTCCAGCAGCAAATTTCAATGTGACCCAAATCCAGGGCAAAATTAAATCTAATGGAATTCTCCTGCTCAGGTTGAAGAGAGTGCAATAAACCTGTGGAACTGGGCTGTGACTAAACACGCGGGTTCTGTTGTCAATGACGAGCAAAGAGCTAAACGTACGTATGTATTCTATACCTTCCTAAATGTGGTTTGTGTACTGTAGCACAAAACCAAAAAACTCTCTGCTGACTGCATATATGTAGTGGTGTAAATTTGTTTGGATCTTTGCAGATAGGGTGTAGGCAGAGGAAAATATACAGCTGAGCTTGTATAAACAGTTCAGGAAGGAGCATCCTGGTGTAATAGCTATCTCCTTGTGACACAGAATTAATGTAGGCATTCTCATCACTCCCCCTTTCTGTGCCAGAGCATCAGTAGAGGTGATGTGACCAACAGAAGCTGTAATTTGCCTTCTAATGCTATGGTTTTAATCTAAAAATGTATGGAAATAACATGGATGTAAATTTTAGATTGTTGGTCACTTAATTTATATCAAATGAGATTGTTTCTTTAATGTAACTATCTCATCAATGTTTACATACAGAAAAACTCTGAATCCCTTTTTTACCTCCCTGCTTTAGCTGGTAGAGTCGCTTGAAGCCAGGAACAAGGCTGGGGGAAAGCAGAAGTGAGCTTTTGGTCTTTTCCCTCAACCTGCTCTTTATGTGGTTCTGCAGGATTGCAATATCTGGCCTACATTTTTGTCTTGAGGGATTATAGTCAAAATTACATATAATCTGCGTCGTATAAATTATATCAGGTAAAGGGAAAAGGGTAAGTTTACACAAAATAAGTGGTAATTGTAGAGCATAATGTTCTCAGATCTTGTATCACAGCTGAAGGGCCAGGGAGAAGCTATTTTAAATACCTTAAGTGGTCTCTTTTCCATCCCTGATGTATAAGGAAGGCCTGAAAATATTTTTGCTTTTTACTTTGAAAATGTAAAGATTATTAAACTTCATTACCCTATTTTGCTCAAGGCTATTTTGAGGCTCTCCAGACATGTTACTGTAAGCACCTGCAATGTAATTAAGTCTTTGAATACCATGTATGTAACTTAAACTCTCTCTAAAGTGTTTAATAGTTATTTTGATGAGAATATCTTTTTTTCTTACCGCGTAAAAAGCAGTTTTAGGCAGCTTGGATAAAATTCAGACTGCTTTGACTCCTGAAGCTTTCAAATTTTTCTCTCTTGTAATTTAAAATGGCAAGCAGTCTTTCAAATACGGCAGGGCCTGACTTTCTGAAAAAATAAAAAAATAAAAGGGAACTTAGGAATGTCTGCTTTGTTTTCTTGCAGTACGGTTTGTTGCTTGCAGACTGGTGTGCCTTTGTGAAGGCAGTGATCCTCCTGAGGGAACTATTCGAAGGCAGATTTTGGTAAGGCTAATGGTGGGTGAGCAATGAAGTGCTGTTGAACACCCAAGGGAAACCGTCAAACCCTGTTATGGTGGCTTTGGAAAGGGAGTGGAATATACCTGTAGTTCTGGGTAACAGACATGCTGAAGGGAGACAGGGATACCTTTCTGAGGCAGTGCAGTTATGAATTTCTGGACAGAAGTGTGCTGTTAGCATCACATCTTTGTCATATGGTAAAATGTCATATGAGCAGCATTTTCATTTATTTCAGTATCTTCTAATATTGTCTATTAGAGCACCATAAGTCTTATGCTGCATCTAAGTGTTAAGGACATCATTCAGACATGAGAGGCAGTTCTCAAAAACTGAAGAGCTAAAATACCGCTCTCCTACATTAGATATGTGCATCAATGAGATGAGATCTAACATGGCCTTTCTTGAAAGTGGCTATGTTTTCACAAAGCTCTTATCATTTTCTCCTTCAGATGTCTATGAAAACTGGGAAAGGATGGATAGATATTGGAAAAGCTGATCTTGCTGATGGATTTCTAGAGATTGCCATGACTGTAAGTTCTTTTCCAGGTTTAATTTCTTATAAACACACCTATTTATAAGTTCCATGGGTAATGCCTACACTTTGTTTTCCAGAGTATAGAAAAACTGTATGCAAAGTTACTTAAGGGGAGCGATGGTGAAGCAGATATTCAGGTGCACAAAGCTGATGTGGAGAAGAACCTCTTCAAAGTACTCTCTTACCAGGCTGAATCAGTATGTGTTCCTCCAAATTTTCCTTATAAGTCACTAAGGGTATAGAGGCAAACTGACCCAGTTGTTAGATGTACGAATGCTTGGCATTGAAGACTTGCTGAGGGATATATTTCCTTCACTTAGATGTAAGATAGCAGATCTTGTGTTTGCATTCAGTGTTGCAATCATTTAATGATTTTTAATTTGCCTAATTTATCGCAGTCATTTCTGCTGTGGTGTTTATATCTTCTAGTTCAGATTTGTTGCTCTATGATTTGGCTGGCATGACTGTTTATAAAACAAACAGCTGCCTTTCTGAATCATAAATGTGTCAGTTCCAAAGGTGTCATGTGTTTGACTGAAGAAGGGGAATAGGACTGGTGTGGAGCCTGAGTCCCCCAAACTGCGTTCATGTAACGTGTATACAGCAAGACTAGTCACTTTGGAATACTCATCATACTGCACTAGTATTTGCAGCTAGGCTGACTGAAAGTATATGAAGGTAGTATTCATCATGGCTGCAGATAGCCAAGGTTCATATCTAGCAAGTAGATACTATAAGCCACATGTGCAAAGTCTTCTGTAATTTACAACTTCATAACTCTGCAAACTCATGAACATCATCAAAGCTATTAATATATATAGCATCAGACGGAGATCTTTCTATACATGAATACTCTCTCTCCCGTATGCTGTGTTCCACATATAAAGGCTTTGAACAGTGGGAGAATCAGTATAAAATTACAAGATCTGGAAATAGTGAGTTCCATGATATTTGTTATTTTCTTTAAAGTCTCAACCTCCAACATAATACAGTGAGGTAAATATCATGGTGATAATTATTAAAAAAAAAAGACCTAGCACAATATGAGAGAAGTCTGAAAAAGTACTAAAGTTTTTCTAGGGCATCAACAACACAAATTACAATAATTTGAAGTGTGTAATTTGGAAATTCTAAGTTTTGTGAGGCATTGTTGTGCCTGACTGAAGTTTCTGCGTACTTTATCAATGCTGCAGGGTATGACAGACATCTGAGTGTAAATATGGCAAAATGTAGTTGCCTGCATTTGTTGCTAACACCACTGACCACAGTATCTAGAGGAGGAGTGCTATCCCCAAAATTCTCAAGAGTTTCCCTAAACAGGCCAAAGCAGTGGCCAAAATTTTTAGTTTGATCATGGAGACTAAAGAGGACTTTAAATTATTGGAGAGGTGGTTTAAGATTTGCTGAACTGTTGTATCATCTTAACATCTGAATGAACTTGTCCTGTGCATCTGACCTTCTCACAGTATGTAAGGACTGCAGTGTTTTTCTGGATGTCTTCATCATCTGGCAATATATAGAAATTTATAGGATTATTGGAGCACTGTAAGGACATATATCTAATCCTAAACCTAGTTTTACTGAATGTGAAAAAAACAAGTCCTATTTCAGAGACTCAGTCTTTTAATTAATTTTAAAGACAAGTTGCTCACTAGCAGTTTGTTGGCATCCTCTACTGCTTTCTTAGGCAGTTGCTCAAGGGAATTTTCAGAAAGCGGTGATGTGTGTGCAGCGCTGCAAAGATATATTGATAAAATTGCCAAAAGAGGTAAGTGAAATCATCCATTCTTTATCATTCCAAACTTTGAAAATCTGCTTTCCTCTCTATATGTTAAAGTATGACATATGCCGTATTACATTTTGAAAAGTACTCTGAACTGTGTATTTCTTCTGTGGTTGGTTGCTTCTTTGAGATCTTCCTACTAAAAATCGTGCATTAACAGTTTCTTTCTTCAAAGTTCATTTTTTTTCTCATAGTTTATCATTTGAAATGGAATGATAAACTCTTCTTAACGCATGAGAGAAGACGTATCGGCAAGCAAGGCAAAAAGATTTCTAAATATAATATGCCACCTACTCTTCTACAGAACCAGCTGCATTTTACATCTTGATCTTGTATATTGCTTCTTCACTTGTACGCATGTGAACTTTTGTCTGGAGACAGATGGGACAAGAGAAGAGCTGAGTTACTAAGTTTTTGATATGCAAGTCTGTCACTACCTTCAATACTAATCTTCATGACGTTGTAGAGCTATGAATGGAGGCTTCCCATTGCACTAAACTGTGGTTTTTTTGTAGTTCTGGCATCACAGAACAACGTCCAGAGAAAACAAACTCTAGCATATGCAGACTAGTTCTTTGTTTGGAAAGATAAAAGTCTAATATGATTATATCAGAATAAACTTTCCCACATTTATTTTCATTTGCTTACTTTAACAGTTTCCCAGTATTTAGGAAACATTTTGTTCCTGTCTCTGTGGTACAGGTAATAAAATTCAAGGGATAGTTTTGAATTCTGAAAGAAGAATATGGGAAATATGGTTGGAGTTTAATTGGGTTTTTAACCAATTAAACTCCAACCAATTTTAAATTGTTTTTTGTGATCTGCAGGTCTTGTTCAGTGCATCTGAGTGACTAAGTCAATTGCCGGGGTCTAGCTTTGATTTGAACCATAAGAGCAGAGCTCCTCACTGTGAATTGTTGAAAATATTCCCTGGGATCTGGGAAATGTTCCACATTTCATTTTAAATGAATTTCACGCTTTCTGCTTAAACTCCTCCATTAAATAGTATTGAACTTCTCATGATGAAAGCTCTTCACAAACCAGAAGCACTGATGGAGACAAGGAAAAGGTTTCTGATCATGAGAGATAAAATTTAGATCTGGTTTAAAGGATGAGAAAAAAAGGAAAGAGCTAGTGATTGCTGGGTGACTTTGAAACTTTTCGACCACTAGGTAGCCGTCAGTCCTTAACTCTTCCAGGCTGCCATTGTACCAGAGAGCACTTGCGGAGTATCACAAGGAGACTGTTGCATTACAATAATGTGTGGTACCAGAGGTCAGCTGGAGAGGATTTGCAGCTTGTGGATCATCAGTGGTCTATGAACCATAACTGGGAACTCTTGCCCTAGAGGCTGAAATGCCAGAGTTGTTCCAAACACTTGTTGTTCAGCGAGGTGTCAGGTTTATGGGGATATTTAGTGTTATGCTTGACACCTGGAACACAGTCATTCACTGAAATAGTATTTTAATTATCCTTTGAAATATGTCGTTTCCAAGCATGCAAGTAAATGACTAGGGTATGCCACAGTATGTCTGCAGCGTTATGCTGAACACTTTGCCTGAAACTCTCTCAATACAGTAAACTTGCTGTTCTGGAAAGAAAACGTTGATGAAAAGTAAGCTTTTCACATCTGAGTGTGATGGGTTTTTGTTCCTGCATACTGAATCTGTGCTTTTATCTCTGGATTGCGATAAGATAAACAATAAATTTGAAGCAAAATGTTTTGCTACCTCTCTCATTCTTGCTTGAGGATTTGAAATCTGTAGTCACTTGCAAGAAACGTCATTCGTACTTTGAAAAGAAAGTTACTGCAGAGGCAAAATGGATATAAATATTGGCAGCCTGTTAGCATATAAAGTGACTTTTCTGTCTCTTCTTTGGGCGACATATGACAGCTGCAAATCTTTTCAAAGGAAAAACAAGTTGTTATGAACAGAGATTTTTTTGGAGCTGACTGATAAAGCGGAAAGCAACAGTGCTCTGAATAACCAAGCATTCAAAAACAGTTTTCTCCTAAAATGTGTGGATGATCCCCTTTTAACCCCAAAGAGACATGCTGGGAAGAAGTCTACCATGGAAGAGGTAGAGTCCTCTTCACTTAGCTATGTAAACCTTTTTTGTCATTTTTAAAAATGAGGTTGTACTCTTCCAATTTTTCCTCTCAAGTTCTAATTTTTATTGTTTACTTTACATAGTTCTAGTACTTTCAATGTTCTTGAGGAACTATTCTACCTCATGTGTTTCAAGAATCCCGCTTTTCGTGTGTCCTGGACTGGTTAATGATGCTTCACTTTCCCACACAATTATGATTCCATTTTAGTCATGTTCATTATCCCCTTGTACAAGGTCAGTGGATATATCTTTAAAGTAAAATGCATTTTAAAGAACCTGAGACTGGAGTGCCATAGATCTAATGAAGCAGGAGTCTTTTACAGACCTGTTACCTGTCAATCCTCTGTTACAATTTTGGAGTGGAAACCTATGAATGGAAGAGGTATGAACAGAGCTGCTTCTGGCTCAGGTAAAACAAAATAAAATCCTGTTTTTGAGATGTAAAAATACGTGTGAAGGAGTGGGGAGCAAGGGAAAGCAGAGTTTTAATTAAAAATGTGAGAATACAAGATTTTAGCTGAACCAGATTAGCTGAGAAGATACTCAGTGACTGTCTTACTCTGTTGCCTAGCATTTATGTCTGCTTTCCACATAGATTTTCATATCATTAGAATGAAAGTCTTCTTTCCATGGTTCTCGTCAGTTCTCTCGCTAACACTTCCTCCAAAGAGATTATTTTTATCAAGACGCTGTTCCCAGTTCTTGTGCCATTCATAAATGATAGTGAAGGGTTTTGAAAAATTTGGAAAAGAGTAGATGAATTCTTCTGACCGGTTTTAAATTGATTTGTTTTAAACAGTATTTGAATTTCTCATAAAGGAGGTGTTTCATTGAGAGCAAGTCCTTGAGTGATGAAAGACACAGACATCAAGGTGAAAAAGGAAGTTGGGTATGGTTTGGGTAGGATCCAAATAAGTAATGTCGTACTACTAAGGACAAAAAAATATAGGTTACTGGGAAGAGTATCCTCATGCCAAGGTCACAGCCTCAGCTCAGAAAATTGGTTTTTATTTCTTGCTCTTTTTCTTTTAAATAGAAGAAAATGAATGGCAACGTACCAAATTCAAACTAGTTCTGGTCATGTATGTTGTCAAAGAGGATTTGTAGAAATGCTTAGAATTGATTACAGCTGGTGCTTTGGAGATTATTTTATATTTTATTCTTGTGGAAAATTACATACTGAGTCATGATGACAAAATTTGTGGAAAAAGTGCAAATAATTATCTGGAGAAAGAGATGTAGCTCCATCTAGTGGGTTAAGATTTCCCTGTACTGAGAATATATTTGATAAGGAAACAAATGCCCAGTTACTGTTTTTCTATCTAACAGTTCTTCATTCACAGCATTTGCAATCGAGTCTGGTTTTGTGGAATTACCACTGCATTTTCTCCTGGGTGGTCCTTTGTGCTGTCATTTAACTTTTAAAAAGAGAATGGGGAATCATGACTCCTAGGTTCTGTTTCTGTCTCTGCTATTGACTTGCTGTGATCTTGAGACCAGGTTATGTATGACTATATTATTTGCCAGGTGAGAACGAGAACACTTGCTTCTTCAAAACCCCTATGGTTAAAACTGATAAAGCCTACTGAAATGTTTGAATAGAAGTTATTACAGAAGGTGGTGCAACAGGTTGAAGAAAGTGATTGAGCACAATTTTTAATACGAGGATTTAGAAAGAAAGCAGAATTTTCTGTTCTCTAGTAAGAGTGAGTACTGAGATTAGTTTGTGTGATTTATGTAGTTTCTAACTGGTTAAGAAGTGAGAAAGGATAGGAATGTTGCACGTGTCAGAAGACTGGCTGAATTTACCTCTGTCTTCCCATTTAATTTGAACTTGCACTTATCATTGATAGCGAGAGTTACGACATTGGCAAGATGGATGTGAAATATTCTGTTGGCAAAGAAATGCAGGTAAGAAATACAGAAATTGCCATTTCCAAATAGGAGGAATTTGTTAACCTGACTCTACTGTATCATCTGCCTCTGCTGTGCCAAACCTGACCAGTTTATACTGTCAGGTTTAGTACTGTCTGCTATGAAGTTTGGCAAAGTTGCAAGTTCAGTTGTTATGAGTGTCAGTCTGAGAGTTCAGTTACTGATGGGTGCTCTTAAATTGAATCTACTATTTCACAGAATTAAGTTGTAGAAAGTAAGACTGAAATAGACCCTGAAAGGCCATCTCTTCTTCCTTTCCCTTCCCCTTCTTCTTTCAAGGCATCATCAGTTACATCTGTGGCATTTCTGATAGATGTTTGTCTGTCTCATTCACAAGCCTATTGCTCCTTTTGCTACCCACAGTGGATATGGAGAAGATTTATAATCTTTATATAAATCGAGAAGATTTATAATCTTTATATAAATCATTTATATATTTGAAGACCATTATCATGTATGTCTTTTTTTTTTCTCTCAGTGAAGTTTTGTACCTCCTGCTCCTTCAATTTCTTCTTTCATTCTGTTTTTCCCACATCTCTGATTTTCCTTGCTACCATTCTGTTCTCTGAACTCTCGTTGAGTCATGTCCTGTGTGAATTGCAGTGCTGAAGACTGAATACGCTTCAGAACTGAGCAATCACTTTATGTGTCTTATACCAGGCAGGCACTCTTTTGACTCAAAGAGCTTTTGTTTTTAATAACCTTAAATTTTAAGTCTTTTGTATTCATATGTATGTTCATGTGTGGCTATTTTTTTTCTGCTCTTCAGATAGCATTTAAACTTCCAGTTTGTTTTTCTTTCCAGGCTAAAGTGCTGCGATTGTTAGCTACAGCCTATTTCGAGTGGGATTGCAATCTGTATCTTGACAAGGCATTGAAAGCTATAAGCTTGGCAAATCAGGTAGTAAGTGTTACTGTATTTATGGTGTGCAATAGTTGAATCTCAAGCATTTATTAACATAATAATATGGAAAACATTAATCACTGGTATGTTATCCTTGACATCAGACAAAGGTGTGTTTGCTTTGCTTTTCATACTCATGAATATGTTTTGTTGTTCCCAACTTTCTTATAGAGAAATACTTCTTTGTATGTAGGTGTACAACTGTCTTGCTGCCTCATATCTATTAATAGTGAGGTCCTTTGATAATGATACGACTAAATTTCTTTGGCATGTATTCGTGAAAACTGGACAAACAGAATAAATTAGTTTGGTCCACCTGAGATTTATAGCAGCTGGCTTTTTATGCATCACACCTTTTGTCTTGCTTTTGGTTGTAAAGGATGTGTCCATATACTACATTTTGAGTCCCCATCTCATTATCTTGTACAAATATTTGAGAAAGCGCCAAACAGTTCAGTTTTGAGAGCTACATCAGTCTTATTTCAAACAATTATTTTAGCTATTGCACTTTACTAACATGACTGTATTTCTTCTGGAACCTGAAAAACGAGCTGTATAAACACACCAGCTACCCTGAAGAAAATTCATATATCTCTGAGCAGTTACTATAATGAGGTCTCTTGCTCTTGTACAAATTCCTTTTCCCATATAAAGACTTGAATTAATTTTATGCTTCTGTCTTTTCAGGTTAGTTAGAGTAACTTAAATTTGAAAAATTTATATTTGTCATTGGTTGACCATTTTAAAATTTCCATTATCTGTTTCATACAAATCAAGTTTTAAGTATAAAACCTTGTTTTAAATGAAAGCTCAAATTCAGTTTTCTATATGCTGTTAAAACTTTCAGACAGATGATGATGCACATGCTTGTGAGATCAGGATAAAAGGCAGTGTATTTTAATCATTCAAATAACATGCCAGTACAGTATCTAAGCCCTTTGCATTTTTTATTGTATTTACTTTCGCAAAACCTTTTGAGGTGGAAAGTGTTTTTATCATAATTTTTGCTAATACATGTTTTGATATTGTATGAGAGTATGGAAAACAAGAAGAAAATTTTTATTCTAGAGTCTGAAATGTGCAGTGTTTTAATGAGAGCTGTAGTATACAGTCTTCATTATTTCCATTTGCTCCTATTGTTGTTCTCTCCTAAATTTCGTATTATTATAAGCTACTTTGAATTCTGCTCATATTAATTCTAGAGTAATCCAACCAATTCACACATAGAAAGGCAAGAAATGTTTCTATCAGTCAGTATTGTTCAGCTTCTATTTAAAAGTACTGGAAATGGGCCACAGCAAAATGAGAATCATGTATCTCTTGCTTTCATTATCCTCATGGTCTTTCAGCAGCATAAGAATAAATAATGAAGATGCACATTGCATTTAAGAAGAAAATATTACCAGTTGTCTACCTATTGCTTCAGTCATTAAAATGGAACTGAAGAATACAGTGGAGTGTATGTGATTTCCTGGTATTTGTCTTTGTGTTATGAATGTGCTGGACTCTCACAGGATCTGTATTCTACAAACAGCTGTCCAAGTAATGTATTGTTTTTCATTGTGCAGGAGAATTTGCATCCAGCAGGGGTTTTTTTGAAAGTTAAAATTCTTCTTAAAAGTGAAGCACCTGACGAAGATATCAACTCAGGTATCACAGTTCTGTATAGGTTTCATAGTAAAGTCATACTGCTATATATCCAGGAAGATGGCCTGAGTTGTAGATAGAAAAGAAAAAAATAAATTCCTTTGTCATGTGTTTTAGAGGAATCTTCATTAGCTAAATGTCATTTTGGTTTTGGAGTGTGAGATGTAGTAGTCTGTGTTCACAGATGAGTTATCCAGGTGCTAGTGTAAGTTTGAATTAAGCCTGACGTTATTTTTGTTGAGAATTTAAACAGACTTGCTGTAAATAGGGAAGAGGGAAGACTCTGAAGCCTATTAGAATGAAGACAGTGAAAACAGAGCAATGTAAAAGTATGGTTTATTTTAGATAGATGCCTAAGGTTACTCAAAAAAGGTGAAGGTGGATTGTTTCTTATGCAGTCAGCATAGAAGAAAGACTTCTGAAACATTGCTATTCTCTGTGTGTGGTTTTGCAGATTTTGGCCAAGAGACATCAAGTACTCATCAGTGTGTTGTTATAAGCCTGTGTTACCAGAGTTTATTTAGTTTATCTAGGGCATATAAACACTTTTCTCCTTATTCCTCAAACTTGTCATTTGAAGAGAACTGATTTTTTTGTTGGCATGAGAGGAGAAGAAAGTTTTTGAGGGGACTTCAATATAGAAAATGTAATGTATCAGGAGAAATGTATTTCCATAAATAATGAAACCTTACAGAAGAGAGGCTTTGTACTTTTTATGGTTGGAAAGCATCAGATGCATAATGAATTTTTTGAGAAATAAATGTAGGATGAGATGAGGAGTTTCTTGCAGAGAGCTGAATGGTTTGAAATTCCCCACTTCAGATTGCTCCTGGGGAATTTCAGCCAGCTTTCAAGTGGGCAGTTATTCAAAACTTAGCATTGCAACAGTTGGCTTCTGTTCCGCAGTTTGAATTGTGAAGCCATAGTGTTGCCTGTCAAAACATACTCTGCTTATATTTAGTAGTACTAAGACTCCAGTCAGTTTTTTCAAGCAAGTTTATTAATGAGTGGGTATCTGTCTATTCTTGTATGGCTGACAGAAAAGAGTCTTGTGTCCATGCACTGCAACTTCTCTTTCTTTTGAGTGAAGGTTCCTGCTAAGTTTTAGGCATTTGGCTAAAATCTTTTATTGTGCACTTGTACACAGGTGCCTTAGAGATGCTTCCTTTAACAACTGTTACAGTCATGTCCCTATGTGTTCCCTCCCTGATCTCATCCAAGATACAAATGTATGTATCTTGTTATTAACCATCTAGCACAGTCTAGCAATTTTTAAACTTTATCTGAGTGGTCTAAAACTGGTACCTACTTATCAGCACCAGTCAATTCAACAGCTGATGCTAAAGGCATTAGGCTTAAGTACTTCCCTTTGCAATGTGATACCAGCGCACAGCCTGAGCACTGACCTCAGTCTTAAGTGGTTCCTGCTGGATAAGGATGAGACATTTTGATGGAAAGCAACTTGAGGCAAAAGTTTGTGCTACTAATGCCTGTGCTGTTCCTGTTTAAAGAGATAGAGGGATAGAACTCCAGGGCTATCAATCTGTCACCTTTCTGTAGTACTACATTAATTGCACAGTGACAGGAAAGTCAAAGCACAATAGACATGTTTTATTCTTCCTTTTGTTTTAGAACTATTATATTGGGGTTTTTCTTGTTTTGTTTTTTTTTTGTTTTGTTTTGTTTTTTTTCCCAAAGAAGCTGTAAGAGGTAAATGGTAAATTGAGCAGTTAAGTGTCTAAGTTGATTAAATAATCATCTCATCTGTTTTGTGTTGTGTCTAGCTGTTGCAGAATTCATGCAACATGAGATGTCTTTAGACTTTTGTTTGAATACTGCCAAACTGCTGCTGGAGCATGGAAGGTATGAAAGCATCATTAAGTGGGATGAACAAAATATTTGGGGTTTGTAGGTATTTTTTTATAAGCAAAAAACATCTATTATACAATGATGCTTTATTTTAAATAAAAACTCACAGAGGTAGGTGAACAGTTTTGAGAGGGAGCCTGTCTTTTCTATAGCAAGGTGATACAGATTATGGCAGCAGCAGAACAGGGTGTGAAATTATGTTGAGTGGCAATTTGTGATGCTGTAGCCTTACTTTGGAATGATTAAGATTCTCCCTATGTAGTTTTAATATATAACTGGAATAGTATATCTGGAATAATATATGTATGAGTCTGGAATTATCAGACCGAGAACTTTCTTCCGCATTAACTAAGCAGCCCTCAAAATGAAAGAGTTTGGAGTGCTAGAATCATTCTTGCGAAAAACAGTGTAAGGATGAACAAGTTACTGCAAAACAAATTGAGGCATGAAATTTCACACTGTTGAATGCTCCATCATGATTACCTATGCATAGGCTTCTATCTTGCAATAAATTCTTACTCTTTCATTGTGAGGAGTAAACTCTCTTGTGAATACTGTAGAACAAGCATGTGCTGATAGCAAGTTACTTCTGAGTAGATGAACCTTGACTCACTCTGTCAGTGTGATTGTGTGCCAGTGGTATTAATGAGAAACATGCTGTACAGTGTGAATATATTAGTCTTTAGAATGGAAAATTAACAGTCTTCTTGTGCAGCCTCTTAAAAATGCATCTGTGTGAATAGGGAATCAATTGGTTTTGATTTTCTGAAATCTGTTCCTGAACGATTTGAATCTTCACCTGACCTTGGAAAAATTACCCTGTTCCACGTTGAGTTCCTGTTGCAGAATAAGAGGGAGCTGCTTGCTAAGCAAAAGGTTGAAGAAATTATTATAGGTCTGTATCCATCTTTTGCTGCTGTTTACTGAAAGCTGTATTTAGTTGGCTAAAGTCTCGAATTCTGATTTTCACTTTTTTGCTTATTCTCACCTTTCTTTCTATTTGTGTCTCTTTTCCCTTACGTTTCTTTTGCGTGGCAACTCTCAACTTCCATAACCAACGTTATGGAATGAACAGTTGTGTTAAACCTCAGGGTTAAATTCACTTGCTAGAACAATTCCTCCTTCTTAGTGTAGATTGTGTGTGACTGATACATGTGGGATTAGAAACATTTATCAGAAGTTCTGTGTATTGTTAAGACTTTGTCCATGCATCCCAATGTATATTTGTCAGTATTAAAGGAGATTGCATATCCTTGTTTGAGCAGCTGATAACAGTTTCTTTTTTGGGTCTGTTGCAACCTGTAGCACTGTAGTATTTTTTGACTGTCAGATCTGCTGGAAATCAGACTGTATTTTACATAGTATTGAGCTAGGTGCAAGAGACACGTTTACATTGTTCAAGCATGAAAATATTTATTCTCTTACTCACTGTTTGGGGGGTGGTGGTGTTTGTTTTAGGTTTGTGGTTTTTTTTTTCAGAAGCAGGATATGAAACACTGGGTCCTGGATGAAAATATTGCTGTGTCAGTGTTTTTTATTGTAGGCTATGGGACAGTCTTTCTCAGATAGTTCTTAGGTGCTTCTCAGTGTGCTTCTTAAAGTTCTTGTAAAGTGATGATTTGCATTTTCAGGTCATTATACTGGGAAACAGCTGTTGCCTGAAGCCTTGAACCGGCTGCACATCATCTTGTGGGACAGAGCTGCCAAACATTATGAGGTTTGGGACCAAACAGTAGTGTTGTTATTTGTATTGGTGAAAATGAAGATCTGCTTTTTCTGACCTCTTTGGTATGTCTATTTTTGGTTAGAGTGCAAGCTGTTACTAAGATCCCTATTCCAGTTGGCACTAGTTTTATTTTCAGACAACTGGGTGCTGTTCTCCATTAAAACATCAAATTGCAGGTAATCTTATCTCAGGTTTATACATGGGAACAGTTATGGCTAGAATTCATAAGCCAAGGAACCTTTGCAGCCCATCATTCTGGTTCTGTCCTGGGAAGGTACAAAAATATTCTTTACATTGAGCTGTTTTACAATTCCTACCCTCTGGCAGTCAGTTGTTGGGTTAAGGAGCTTGAAGTGTTATCATTTTCTTTTTAGCCTATATAAAATAGCTTTCGATGCTTACATTGTATCTTAGTTCATATACATTCGTACTGTGAGTATATGTAAGTTCTATTAAAAAACAGATACCTTCTTATTTCAGTATTTGGAGACGATGAGCTCATATTCTGCTCTTGTATTTCTGTCATATGCTCATTTCTTGAGTAAAGAAAAATCCATGTTCCATTTTACTACGTCTCATCTGTGTAGTGAAGAAGGAATTTTGCTAATGACACAGCTTCCTTCCTCCTCATTTTAAATAAATTCTCTGTCCAAATTGGAAGTATAGTTGGCAGTATCATCTTAAGCATAGTATCATCAAGATTCACAGTCTAAGTGAAATAAACACTTTTGCCTTTTTCGCTTAGTTTCAGTTGCTTTGTATCATGGAGAGAGAGGTTTTTTTAAAATAATATTTCTGTTTTGTATTTAGTCATAAGAATGTCCTTTCTGGGTCAGATGAATGACCCATCTAGTCCAGTGTCCTGTCTTTGATAATGACTGTAAGAATAAGGGAAGAGTAGGAATAGGTAAAGTGTCAGTTCTAATGAATATTACCTGCATTGTGGGACCAACAATCGCTCTTTTGTGGGAAAGGTTATGATAGAATGTATGATTATCTAAATCTTTCATTTCCTATGACCATTTTTTTTTAAATTTGGGAAAACATAGACAGTTTCATCACCCAAATAAGGTTTTGTTTGTGTTTTGGTTTTTGCATTTTTTGTGTGTTGTTTTGTTTGTTTGTTTGTTTGTTTGTTTTAATTTCCTAGGCAAAAAGCTATTCTGAAGCTCTCCACTGGTACAGTTATGCGGTCAGCTTCTACACACCTGGGCAGATAGATCAGAATTTGGCTAAGCTGCAGAGGAACATGGCTTCTTGCTATCTTCATCTGAAACAAGTTGACAAGGTATATACAATATATATGTATACATATTTAATTATTTGCTTAGGTTTTGTTTTTACTGATGTCATTGGGACTTAGAATCATAGACTGGGTTGGGTTGGAAGGGACTTTAAGGATCATCTAGTTCCAACCCCCCTGCCATGGGCAAGGGACACCTTGCCCCCCCGGCCAGGGTCAGGGGACCCCTTCCACTAGACCAGGTTGCTTAGAGCCCCGTCCAACCTGACCTTGAACACTTCCAGGGGTGTGGCATCCACAGCTTCTCTAGGCAACCTGTTCCTGTGCCTCACCACCTTCAAAGTGAAGAATTTCTTCCTTATATCTAATCTAAACCTACCGTCTTCCCAGTTTAAAGCCATTACTCCTTGTCCTATCACTACATGCCCTTGTAAAAAGTCCCTTTCCAGCATTCTTGGAGGCCCCCTTCAAGTACTCTAAAGCTGCTATAAGGTCCCCCCAGAGCCTTCTCTTCTCCAGGCTGAACAACCCCAAGTCTCTCAGCCTGTCTTCATAGGAGAGGTGCTCCAGCCCTCTCATCATCTTTGTGGCCTTCCTCTGGACTTGCTCCAACAGGTTCATGTCCTTATGTTGGGGGCCCCAGAGCTGGAGGCAGTACTCCAGGTGGGGCCTCACCAGAGCAGAGTAGAGGGGGAGAATCATCTCCCTCTGCCTGCTCGTTATGCTTTTTTTGATGCAGCCCAGGATATGGTTGACTTTCTGGGCTGCAAGTGCACATTGCCAGGTCATGTTGGGCATCTTGTCAACCAGCATCCCCAAGTCCTCCTCAGGGCTGCTCTCAATCCATTCTCCATACAGCCTGTATTTGTGCTTGGCATTGCCCTGACCCAGGTTCAGGACCTTGCACTTGGCCTTGTTGAACTTCATGAGGTTTGCACGGGCCTGCCACTCAAACCTGTCAAGGTCCCTCTGGATGGCATCCCTTCCCTCCAGTGTGTTGACTGAACCACTCGGCTTGGTGTCGTTGGCAAACCTGCTGAGCGAGCATTCGATCCCACTGTCCATTGTCACCAACAAAGACGTTAAACAGCGCCGGTCCCAATATTGACCCCTGAGGAACATGACTCGTCACTGGTCTCCACTTGGACATTGAGCCATTGACCACAACTCTTTGAGTGCGACCATCAAGCCAATTCCTTATCCACCAAGTGGTCCATCCATCAAATCCATGTCTGTCCAATTTAGAGACAAGGATGTCATGTGGGGCAGTGTCAGATGCTTCGCACAAGTCCAGGTAGATGATGTCAGTTGCTCTTCCCTTATCCACCAAGACTGTAACCCCATTGTAGAAGGCCACCAAACTTGTCAGGCATGTTTTGCCTTTAGTGAAGCCATGTTGTCTGTCACCAATCACCTCCTTATTTTCCATGTGCCTTAGCATAGTTTCCCGGAGGATCTGCTCCATGATCTTGCTGGCCAAAGAGGTGAGACTGACTGCCCTGTAGTACCCCGGGTCTTCCTTTTTTCCCTTTTTAAAAATGGGTGTGATGTTTCCCCTTTTCCAGTCAGTGGGAACTTCACCAGACTGTCAGGACTTCTCAAATCAGTGTGCCCAGGTGGCCAAGAAGGCCA